GATAGGTTGTCCGTTCCGGACCGTAGATCACAGTGATTTATGTACAGGATCGGACACCGCATGCAGAGATGTATGCGGTGTCCGCACGCAATAATTCCTCGCCAGTCGAACTGACATGGCAGTGAAGATACAGAATACTAGTAGGCTTGGCCTATTCACTCACACAAACAGTCGCATGGGACTTTCGATAATTAACCACGAAGCATTATCCCAACCGTCCGATCCAAAAATCACAATCTCACCCATCCCAATCTCCATCACGCGCATGCGGATTACCCGCACCAAACTCCCAAACGAAGATGGCGGGAGAGAGTCTGTTTAATTAACTGAATCCAGCAACAGAACAAAAGCTAGCAATGAACCAAAATAGAAAAAGAAAAACCTCTGCTTCTCAGCCTCTGTTTCTTCCTCTAATTTCACCTCTGTAATCTGTTTTCATCTCCTCCCATACTCCATTGTATTTGCTCTATTTATCTTCTTCCTCCATTCTCCCACCCAACACCATCCTCCATGATTGATCATGAGGCAGCCAGAAACACAAACCCTACAATGTGAATGAATGTCGAATTCAAAACACCACCACGACCAGTCCCGGAATATGATCACAGACACCGCCACCGATAATTCGTTCAAATGTGAGAGGAAAAAGAAGGTATGAAATTGATGTCAATTGTTAATAGCAATGATAGGAAAGTTCATTTTGTGATCAGGAGGTCATCGATTTTAACCGATTTGTTTCACCATGAATGTTTCAGTCTTTGCTCACCAATATTTTTAGTAAGAAGGGAAGGAGTAGAAGAGGAACGGATGGAGATGGATTCCCAGGTATGGAAATTTGATTTAATACATGTTTGATTTCAGCTCCTCTATTTTGAATTTGGCAATATGAGCTTCAAATGAGAAGAAGTGTTCTATATAAATCTTCAACAGATTTGAATCGAAGAAATGTGGCGAGGAGTTGTTTGTTGGATGCATCTCCTCTTGTCAGAAAAAGCTTTTCAGGTGATTTGCAAATGACAAAATCTGACATTATATATATTTGTATCACCATATCAAATTCAAAAACATGTTATTTTAAAAAAAGATCAAAATCAATCAAATATCTGTGGAGATGAAAAACTAACCATTAATTTGCCCTGCACAAATAAAAGTGCTTGCTGCATCTAACTTATTCATCTTCAGATAGACCTTCGAATTCACGAATCGAAAGCCTGAACATTTGCACCATTGAACGACCGTTGCAGCGAGAAATAGTAGAGAAGAAAGTGTACAGGTTTGAATTCTTTGCTGCCTTCATATTGTCGACACGACGAACAAATTCCACCAATATGAGGATATCAGCTTTATGAGTTCTAAATTTGCAGGCTATTTGTCGGAACATGGAATGTAGGAGGAAAAACACCGCACATTGGCCTCAATCTTGTAGATTTTCTACAAGTTGAAGAAGACATAGATATATATGTGTTAGGGTGCGAACTCTTTAATCTTATTCTTATTTTGATAACAAAAAGATATGATGAAGTTCTTAAATTCTTACCTTCTTCAGGTTTCAGGAGATAGTTCCTTTAAATGCAGGCAATGTGCTTGTCATTGAGGACAACGAGCCAGCGACGAAGTGGCTCGCGCTTATCGCTTCGGCCCTCAATAGCTCTAGTGGCAGATACTTGAGTGACAGGGATGACTTTTCATCTGATTCTAACTCATCAAAGCACATCAACCAAGCGAAAGAGAGGACCGCCTTTCAGAGATCCTCACTGAAGGCTCTAAGCAAACATCATAGAGCAAATAGCGCTTTGGTCAAGACCTGTAACTGCTCAATTGATCCATCTAGCATGCGGTGGAAGGCAAGGGAGCTGAGGGAGTTCATACACAGACTCGAGTCAATCACAATTGATGAAAATTCTCCATTAACATGTTGTGGTGGTCCGGAGAAGGTGATCGGCGATACCTATTGTTTGGTTTCCAACAAGCAGATGGTGGGCATATTCTTGTCTGTGTGGGTGAAGAATGATCTTGTGCAACACATTGGCCATCTTAGGGTTTCCTCTACAGGAAGGGGGATCATGGGTTACCTTGGAAACAAGGTTGGTTAGCATATTAGAATCATGCTGCACAAGAAATCAAGGAAATCTGTAGCTTTGTCTTATTAGATGTTTTATGATGCACAGGGATGTATTGCAATGAGCATGACAATACATAACACGAGCTTCTGCTTTATCTGTAGCCATTTGGCTTCAGGAGAGAAGGAAGGAGATGAGCTGAAGAGAAACTCCGACGTTGTCGAGATCTTGAAGAACACACAGTTCCCTAGTATATGCAAGACACCAGCTCGTCAAATACCCGAAAGGATCAAAGATCATGAGTAAGTTTCTATCATATGGCCAAATTAGCTCCTAAAATTTTTTTTGAATCATAAGATTAAAGTCAAGTAAAATGAATTTGAGACAAAAAAGGGGAAATTTACAGATATTCCACACAATTCTTATGCATTCACATATCTTGCACCTAAACATTCATGTTTACACATATAACACTTTGATGCCGCAAACCTATGCATGAAAAGATGTGTTTCAGTATTAAAAGATAGTAATAGTGGTATTTTTTATGTGATGTTAAGGATTTGAGTGATATATATGTAAATATGAATGTTTGAATATGAATGTTTGATTTGAGTGTTGGATATGTAAATACATGAGAATTGTGTGGTATGTATGTAAATGCCTTAAAGAAATATCCAAGCAAATAATTTCCCACTTCATTTCTTGTAAATCAACATATACCGCAGCCGAGTATTTTGGCTTGGGGATTTGAATTATCGAGTTGCTTTAAGCTACGAGGACACGAGAACATTGCTAGATGATAATGATTGGGATGCTTTACTAGAGAAGGATCAGGTAAACAAATGCAAACCCAAATAAAATCATTTAACCAAATGGCTAAATCTTTTTTACTCTAAATATCTCAAGTATTTCCACAGCTAAATATGGAGAAAGAAGCAGGAAGAGTATTTGGTGGGTGGAAGGAGGGAAAGATCTACTTCGCACCAACCTACAAATACTCTCACAACTCCGACGAATATGCTGGAGAGACGGTGAAGTCGAAGAAGAACCGTCGAACCCCAGCATGGTATGCTCTAAACTGTTCGTCAACACCATTGATCAAGCTATCATGAACTATCATCATGCATTTGTGGTGAATTTAATTTGATCTTAAGAAATCATTTCAATAATGATCAATCTAAACTCAAAATTCTATATTAGTTTTCATCAAAAACTGTCAAGTCATAATTACTTGATTATCACGAGTTCTATCTACATAATTGTTCACAAGCTCATGAAGAAAAGTGTAGATTTAGATGAGGAAAATGACTGTTCAAATTTAATTTCTGCAATTTAAAATGAAGTTGGAAGAAAAAAATCTCAAGTTAAAGCCATAAATCTCAAATAAAAGGTTGGCTTAGAGCAATGACTAGTCTGACTTTTTCATAAACTGAAGGTTTAATAAATTTTGGAAGACTCACATGCATACCACTCAATTCTTATGTATTTACAGATATAACACTTAAGCTTCAATATATATATATATATATAGGCCACCTTACAGATATTTCGTACACTTCATGTAAAAGTATAAGTATGCATAAAGGTGTCATTTATCTATTTTGGAGAAAATGTATTTAATATATATATATATATATATATATATATAGGCCGCCTTACCTTTGCATGAAAAGGTGTATTTCACCTCTTAAAAAACGGTTGTATTTTTATGTGATAAGAGATTCGGGTGGTATAAATGTAAAAATCAAAGTTTAGGTGGGAGGAAAGTAAATACATAAGAATTGGATGGTGTATTATGTAAATACCTTTCTTGGCCACAAATTCTCTCTATGAAATGCAGAGTGAAACTGCATCATCGGCTCTTCCTCATGGGAAAACCATTCTATTTAACCTTACTTAAAAGAAGTGTGGCAGTAATCTCAAGATTGATTGATTACGTGAAGTAACAATAATGATGAAATTTTTGTGCTTTTTTTTAAGGTGTGACCGTATATTATGGTGCGGAGATGGAATCGAGCAAGTACAATATAACAGAGGAGAGTCAAGATTCTCCGACCACCGGCCGGTATGTGCGGTTTTCAGAACTCAGGTGGAGTTCAGCACCAGCAGTACCTACGAGGACGGCTACGCCAGTGCTGGAGGGAGGAGTCCGATTGTCGAAACTAGACCTCAAAGGCACAGCTTCTATGAGTTCTGAAAGAGAAGTATAGTTATAGAGGGAAAAGTAGATTTTACTAGGCCTGTAATTTACAAATCCCATTACATGTAAAGATGTTAATGAAGTTCTATAAATAAGGAAAATTAGGTTGCTTATTTTCTGCGTGGGCAGTATATTCTGTAAATTGGTTTGCTTGGACATTCTTCATTCTGTATAGGGTAGTTCTAAAACAAATTAGATAAATAATTGGCATCTTTTATTCCATGTTTTTAAAAGATTAAGGATGCCACCATGCCTATACCTTGAGAAGAAGAAAAAAACTTGAAGAAGAAGTATGCTGCCATGTCCAGGAATCAGGGCAGAAGTTGCCTTAAATCAAACTGGGATTTACATAAATACGACCCAAATCTTATGTTTTTACATATATAATGCCAAAACTTTGCTTTTTTACATTTATACTCCAGAAATCTTTCATATCACATCAGAAATGCCAGTATTTTAACTTATTGAATGTGAAATACACTTTTTCATGCATAAGGGGGCATATATGTAAAAATTGAAGTCTAGTTGTCAAATACATAAGAATTGAGTGATATCTAAGTAAATATTCCTAAAAGGAAATTAGGCAGGAGTGAATTTGAATTCAAACCCATTATAGCATGAAATCTTATCAAACAGAATCAATTATCAAAAAGCCTATTTGAAGCCTGAAAAAGTTTGAGGCGAAATTGAACTAAAATGTTTGATTTATTTTAACGTGTGTTTGGGGGCAGCTGTTATCTTATATTAGTTTGTTTGGGGCAACTTTTTCACAACTATTATTTAGACCTCTGCTGTTATATTTCTGCTCGATTGCAGCTTTATTGCTTTATAATATTGTTGTAATAAGATGTAATTTCTTACAATCAGTGTGCTAGTATTAGTTTTAAGCTGTTTGTTTCTATTTTATTTTAAAAAGCAATTCAACAACAGTTCTACAAGTACATCTACAAACACCTCCAACTACTCCAAATAAGCCCTAAATGTCATCGTAGAATTCATATGAGAAAAATAAATTTTGTTTGAAATTTATGGGTATTACACTTCATTTTCATTTTAAAAGAGGAAGATTTGCATAAATGCTACTCAATTCCTATGCATTTACATATCTAACACATAAAGTTCAATTTTACTTATAAACTTTTTTTTAATAAATTAAAAGGTGTATTTCAGTTTTTAAAAGTTAAAAAGGTGATACTTCCTATGTGATATGAAAAAATTAGTTGGTAAAAATGTAAAATGCAAAATTTTGATGTTAGATATGTAAGTACATACAAAATTGAGTGGAATGTATGTAAATGCCCATTTAAAAATCCTTGCATGGTCGTTTGTTTTCATATTCTTGTTGATGTATTGCTTTATTTAAAGATGCTAATAGCTCTAAACTTGCTCCAGATTTGACTCCAATCAATATCAAGCTATACTCCAAACACAAAATCAATTCTTACTTTGTTCCAATCTACTCCAATATAGCTCGAGTCAACTCACAATAAATATTTATATAAATGACATAATAAATATAGCAAAATACATGTACAATATAAGGTATAAAATTTATATTTATGTATTTATTTAACTAAAAAACTAATTTTGAGTACTCAAAATAAGTGTCGAGCAGTCAAATTTAGTTCAAACAAAATCTTTTTCGTTTCTATTAAATCTTAGTATAGCATTTATTTTAGTTTTGATTTTAAATTTGGTAATAATAAGCTCGAACTCGACTCCATATCACCCTTAGCTTCATCACCATATGCCATAACCCGAACTCTCATTCATCAATTTGTTGCTCATGTTGATCGATTATGCCTTCTATCCTTTTGGTACAACTTCCTAGAAAGGCTCCATCTTACAAGCGCTCTAATATAAATGCTTTATTTCAAAATTCATCTAAAAAGTATCTCAAACCGTAAGAATTCTGTTTGTTGTATTTAAGGAATCTTTTACAATGTTTGATCCAATAACTATAGACAAAAACTAGTAGCTTCTAATTTGTGAACCACACTATCAAACCCGCAACACGTACTTAGAAGCGGATAGAAGTTTTTGTCTAAGTTCAAAATAAAGATTTGCATGTATTAGGATGTCCAAGCAAATAAGATCTTCGCGGGCTTCGCGAGACCCACTTTAACTTGAATATATTGTTCTGAAAGATGTGTTGATCACCTTGAAAGCATGCAAATTTTCTAAAATATGCTATAGCACTCGAAGTTTAAACATTTGCATGTACTTTGACAATAATTATAATCCTTAAAACTAAGTGTCAAAGAACGCCGCAAGAGAAAAAATATTAAAAATGGACTAACAATTAAATTTGTCTGGAAAAACATTCAAAGTAATCTAAATTTTATAAAGTCACTTTTTCAAGCTTTTAATTTAATATATTAAGTTAAGCATGCTCTTGAATAAACAGTATTGCTTATAAAGCAATATTGTAAGTCCTACATTGGTCAGTCCAATCGACATTCTAATAAGTATTGGTGTTCACAAGTTTTCTAAAATAACATGAAGTCCCCGAAACATCCGCATGTACTCCGACGATAATTTTAAATTCTTAATCAAAACATCTGAGAATGTTACATGATTAAATATATAAAAAAGAATTTAAATTTATTTTTTTCTCGAAAAACATTCAAGTAATCAAAAATTTATAATTTTTTTTTCTAAAATTTAATTTAATTTAATTAAGTTATGCAAGATCTCAAAAGAGTCATCTTGCCTATAAAGTAAGGTAAAAATCGCACATTGACCAGTCCGGTCCGATCCTCCTCTCTAAACTCGCTCTAGATTTGTATTGATATCAAGCTATACTGCAAACACAAAATAAATTTTTAGGTCGTTTCAATTTACTCGAATATAACTTAAATCCACTCAAAATAAATATTTATATAAATGACATAATAAATATATATGTACAATATAACGTATAAAATTTATATTTATTTATTTGTTTATTTAAAACTAATTTTGAGTACTCGAAATATGTCTCGAGCAGTCAAATTTTGTTCAATCAAAATCTTTTTGGTTTCGATTATGTCTCAGTATAGCATTCATTTTAATTTTGAGTTTAAATTTGAATAAGAAGCTCAAAATCAACTCCATATCACCCTTAGCTTCACCACCATATGTGATAGCCAAACTCTCATTCATCAAAATGTTTTTCATTTTGATCTAGTATGCCTTTTATCCTTTTGGTACAACCTCCTAGAAAGGCTGCCATCTTAGAAGTGCTCTAATATAAATGCTTTATTTCAAAATTTCATCTATAAAGTATCTCAATATGAAAGAATTATGTTTGTTGTATTTAAGGAATCTTACAATGGTTGATCCAATCACTAAGGATAAAAGCTAGTAGCTTCTAATTTGCGCACCACGCCTCCAAATCCGCAACACGTACTCTGAAGTGGATAGAAGGCTATGTCTAAGGAGTTCAAAATAAAGCTTTGCATGCATTAGGATGTCTAAATAGATAAGGACTTGCGCTTGCTTTGCAAGACCCACTTGAATATATTGTTCTGAAAGATTTGTTGATCACCTTAAAAGTGTGCAAATTTTCTAAAATATGCTATAGTACTAAGTTTAAACATTTGTATGTCCTTCAATGATAATTTCCTTTGATGATAATTATAATTTTTAAACCTAAGTGTCTAAGAATGTCTAATAGAAAAAAAAAATTAAAAATGAACTTGAAATTAAATTTGACTTGAAAAGCATGCAAGGTAATCTAAATTTTATAAAATCTCTTTTTTCAAATCTTTACTCTGGAATAGGTAACCTTGCCTATAAAAAAATACTATAAGTCCCACATCGATCAATCCATTTGACATTCTAATAAGTATTGCAGTTAGCAAGTTTTATAAAATAACCTTCAGTCCTCGAAACACCGGCATGTACTCCGACGATAATTTTAAATTCTTAATCTAAACGTTTGAGAAAGTTGTAGGATTAAAATAAAAAAAAAAATTAAAATTATTTTTTTCTGGCAAAGCGTGCATGTAATCAAAATTTTTAAAATTTTCTTTCAAAACTTTTAAATTTAATATCATTAAGTTATGCATGGTCTAAAATGAATTGTATTGCCTATAAGGTAAGGTCATAAATCCTACATTGTCAGTCCAATCCAATCCGATCCTCCTCTCTATAAAGGCAGGAGTTAACAGGACTAATATTTTTTTAAATATTTAAGAAATTGAATTCAGTCAAATTACAAATCTAAGAGTTCCATGAAATATTCTCAGTAATAGAGGTGTTAAATGTGAACATATTCTCAGTAATAGAGGTGTTAAATGTGAACATCAACCGAAGAGGTCGACTCAAAAAATTAAGTTTTCAATTCGTAAAGATCTAAAAATTATTCGAATGAAATATATCATTTAGGCTAAAGACCAAAACACCATCCACACTCTACAACCGTTTATCAAAGGTGACAAATTTGTCAGTAACTTAAGCCCATGTAAAGCTAAGGTCATGCCAAGTATATATTACTATATTCATGCTCAAAATAATGTGCTAGTAAGAATTAAGAATGTAATTTTAATCCTCTGTCAACGTGGTTTGATTATTAAGGGTCTGTTTGGGGTAACTACAGATTATTAAAAAGCTATTGCGCATAAGATGACTATATGTTTATTTTTTGCAGTTTGAAACAGTTGGGTTATAGTTGTTTCTGAATAAATGACTTTTATGTCTTTGTACTATAGTGTTATTTATAGCATAACTATTCATATTAACACATTCCATACTTGAAATCAAATATCAAGTTTGAATGTTACAAAATAAAAAAAGACATCTCACAAAATAGTGAGTAACACGACAATCAAAATTAAAAAAAAATTATTAAAATAACAATTAATAGAATGATAATATTCTTTTTAAATTATAATTGACTTATGTTACGAGATAAACCGCTATCCAAGGAAACTCGTCACACCCACTATCGATGGTGGATTTATGCAACCCATCAGCACACCTAAAGAACTCACAGTTTGATGTTCTTTTCCTCGGGCAACTGTAAAACTATTTCGTAGCTATGTGGCTATCACGAGTTAGACAGAAAATATTGTAGATCACAGTAGCAGTACAAACTCCGAAGGTATCGAAAGTTCTCGACCTCATCTTTTCAGATGATTTTAAAACAACGAAGCACAAATCTTTAAAAACAACATTAGTGAAAAAAAATATTCGAAGTAATCAATGCAAGTTATTTAACTGAAATCTCAAAGAATCTAACATAAACCAACGAATTTGTCACTACAAGAAGACAACAGACTTTATAAAAAAAATGTTATTAGTTGGTTTTAAACCAAGTAATACTCAGCTCATGTGTCAAATATGCATATCACCACAAAATACCATCTAGAGGAATCTCAAAAGCCATTGCACTGAAAATTGAGAAGAACTTGGTTACTTTCATTGGGATCTCACATATGACAAGAACCAAAAGTGAAATATAGGTCATCCAGAAGACCCTTAAGGTCGAATATCTCATCATAAACCTCCAAAAAAAAAAAAAAAAACATGCAATGTTCATATTACATATTTTATCCAGGTTTGCCTCATCGGTCATCCACCTGGTAAATAATACATCAATAAGAAATAGAAAAAAATTTGAGATTCAAAATATGCATGCCTTGCATAAAACATCCATATACCAAAAAATAAATATATTCACAACACATTGCAAATAAAGTGGCAACAAAAACAGACAATCCCTCAATTTGGCCTCCAACTATGACAACTTTAATTCGTTCCCTCAATTCTATCATCCCCCCCCTCCCCCCTCCTGGCACCTTCCTCATCCTGGATGCAAATCTCAAGCAATTCACCTTGAGTCTATGATAAAGTTCGTCTTAAATAATATGTATATGCTTCAACAGGGACATGTGAATGATCTTCATCAGCTCTATTGAAATCAATGTCGTTCCACGAAGGATGTCACCGAATATAATTGTATAAAAACATTGTGGCGACCACAATCTACACTTGTTTAGAAAAAAATGTCGGCATATCCCACAACACGACTAATTTCTTTTTCCAAACTTCACATGACCTTTCAATGACACGGCGTAAATAAAAGCGTCACTTATTGAATATCTCTTTCTTACCCCGAGTGATATTGTTAACTCTCTCAAAATTAGGAATATGATATTTGGTATCAGCAAAGGGCTTGAGATACCCTTTTCGTAATGGATATCCAGCGTCAACCAAATAATATTTATTTAATATAAAAATAATCATGAGTGTTGTGCAAGATATTAGCATTTCCTTTGTTAATATTCAAGCTAACATAGAGGTAGCTACGGAAAGTTATACTATTTAGTTCGCGTAGCAAAATTAAAAATATGACTGTTATGTGCACTGTGTTCATATCCGGCCAGAGCAAATATGAAGCATTTATTGAAATCACATACAACATCACATTTTGTGTTGGTGATCGACATCATCCAATGTATGCAATCTTTTCACAATTGGGAATACATGTATCAAAATGTGTTTCATCAATCGCTCCAACACAATCCTGAAATAGTTACCAATGATATTAGAGACATTGTGTTCAAGTTGATTTAGAAGAATATAAACACATGAAACTACCTTAACATATAGCATATAACACTGATCATGTGAAGTCTACACAGGTGTGCTTTGGAATGAAGATTTATAGTGACAAACCAATCAGAGCATTTAGCTCAATTGAGATATATCTGCTGATAGTTTTGGATGAGTGTTAGAAAAGTTTCATAACACCTCTCATGAACTCATTTTGTGATAAAATATAGAGTTATAGCCAACACCTCTCTTGAAATCATCATGAACGAGCCATGCAAACCATGATTTATGTGAAATTCCTTCAATAGATCAGTGAAAATAGATTGTGTGGGGTGACCCACAAGCAACTCCCCAACCCACTGGTCGCCTACATAGTGGAAGTCATGCAAGAAACCAAGCCATCCTCCCCACAAGCAACTCCCCAACCTGAGCACCATATTTCGACATAACCAAATAGAGAACAGAGCATCATATTTCGGTATCACCAACAACACCCTAATTTCCCCATGCCAACAATCACAGCATAGAGAAACTAAGTCATCCTCCAATTTTCAACATAATTTCCACGTACAAAAAAAAATCACAACACCATAATTTTCACATACCAAGAAAAACGCAAAATCAACATCACAACACAACCATCCTCCAATCCATCAACCAACTATAGAGCACAAAGAAACCAGGTCATCACCGAACACAAAGAAACACAAATAATTGGAAAATAAAAATGCTCGAGTATGTAAGGAATGCCTTGGGGCGACGGAAAGCAAAGGATCCAAATGGAGCCGAAGAATAGAGGGGAGAGGGAGGGGGAGGGGGAGGGGGAGGGAGAGAGGGAGAATAAAGGCAAGCACACCACAACAACCACCGGAACTAAAGGAACATGTTTGGAACCAACCCTAACCATCAAATCCACCGAATAACAAAGAGGAGAGAGAGAAGAAAGGCAAGCTCACCACAACAACCACCGCAACAAAAAAGAACCAGACGAAACCCAAGCCACCGGAGCCACAGAGGAGAGGGGGCACGCGAGTTTCGAGTGGGATACGAGAGCACAGAGAGCCGAGGGGGGCAAGGGGGATGAGGGTAATATTATCGTGAATAAACATATCCTGTGTTTAATGAGCTTTACCCAAAGCGCAACACTGCCGCGAATTCCAAATGCCCTTCTCCGACATTTCCCCACCACACCGTGCCTTTTAAGCCACGCCAAACATGTCCTAAGTCTCACAAACGAAGCAATCAAGATCAAAACCCTCTAACCAAGTGGTTTGGCCAATAGACTTCAATATGTTATAATCACGGGTGTACCTGTATGTCACTTAATATTTTTTTCAAGACTGAGTTGTGCATCATAAAGTATACTTGATCACACACAATTTTATGTTAGCTAAAGTCAACTTGAATTTATCCTTCTATATAGACGTCTACCCTAAGTCTACAAGTTCCACTTGAACAAAGCGACTCGTGGCAGCCAAGAAGGATCCTTACTATGGACAAATAAACCACAGAATCTTGATCGGGTTCGTCACATTTTCTTCCACCATCTTCTCTAATTTCACTGTGATAATTTTATAATTTCAAAACTTAAACTTGCTTATATTATATGTTAAGTCTGAATACTTAGTATCTAATAACTAACATTAATCCAAAGTACTACCGTTATGAGTTTGCGGCTATGAAAAATATCAAATTTCAGATATTAAAGTACTCAAAATGAGAGTGATATTTTTGGGTGACATCTTATCTACTATCCCATCTGTGTTCTGAAATTTGACCTGAAACCTTATCTTTCTATTTTATTCTTTCATTCTTTAGAGTGACAACGGCGCAGGAATATTCAGAGCCCGCAAAATTATGTTATATCTGAATAGACTAAACATGTTTTATTTCAAATTAAAGCATAAAAAAAGAGAACAAAAAACAAAAACAATCACAATACAACCTCTAAAATTTCAATTTTTTAAATTACTATTGTTATAACATAAAAGTGATGAATCATCTCTCACATTCTAAATCTTACATTAGAATATTAGATTTGCATGCATACTATCATTATCAAATTAAATAAAATTGGAAGCCATGTTAATTTTAATAATCTAGACTGAAACTGAGTTTTGATTTTCAAGTAAAAATCACATGATTGAAGAATAAGATTACAAGAGCATCATCAAATTTAAAAAAAAAATTAATTAGATGATTCGGCACTTACTTGAATTGAGCCAACATCAGCTTTGCCAGATTTTGACTTGATCGAACTTGACTTCAACTATATCTCCAACGAAAATCAAAAAATTCGGTCAATCTTCACAGCGCAATTACCATGCTAAAGAAAAGATAAAATTAATGGTTGCTACATCCTTGTCTTTCCTAACTGATTGATACTTGGAGAAACCTACAAGGAATCATTCTTTTATTAACAAAATGAATATAAATTATAAGGAGCGAGACTTAGCTTTCAGAATAATAAAATATTCCTTACCTTTTGTCTTCTTCTTCCTCCTCTTCTTTCCACTTTGCATATTAAAAACCATCTAAAAAAGAAAAAATAAAAAATAATAGTGCAGCAGCATCAAGGTTGGTTGTCGCCGGAGGAAGAACGACTAGGTTGAGTGCATGACGCTCGCAACATGCAGGTCACCCAAATTCCAAATACAAGACTTACAGACAGTAATGTCGTTAAAAAACAGGAAAATTTACATACGTAGCACACAATTCTTATGTATTTACATATTTAACACCTAACTTTCATACTTGCATTTATATAACACTTTGGTGTGAGAAACCTGTGCATGAAAATGTGTATTCCACTGTTATAAAAAATAGTTGATGGTGATATTTTTGATGCAATATTAAAGCTTTGAGTGCCATGAATGTAAATATTGAAATTTGGGTGTTAGATATGTAAATACATAAAAATGTGTGCTAGGTATGTAAATGCCCAAAAAGAAAAACAAAAAATAATAACAATACAAGAATTTATATACAGATGCAGCTGGACTCGCATATATTTGCAATGAAAGTTACATTAGAATACTACTAATGTGCAAGCTTAGGCATCTTATCCTGTTATATATACAAACATAAGAAATTTAACACAGAGTCAAATGAAAAAAAAAAGTTACAAAAAAACCTTCTCACCTGTCCGTATTTAGAAATTAAGCCTTAAACCCAGTACCCTCCTAACATCACCAAACAATATATCACTCAGAAATAACTAACCATGCGGTAACTAGGACAAAGATAAACACACATTGATGCTCAGAAGGTAAAAATCACCACCAAAAAATGAAATTAGTAAAGCAAAGAAAACGGATGTCAAGGAAATAAAGAATTTAAATTTTCACCTTCAATGTTTCACTAATTTACAGCATTTAGGATGATCCCAGACCACATGCATGAATCAAATATCCCCTGACACTATACATCATCCAGGTCAGTTCCCATTTTGGAGAATTCATCCCCTATATTACATATTAATCTCATTTCTAAGCCTAAAGATGAATTATCAACACTAGACTCCATAAATTGGAGGTCGCAGGGCAGTGCACCTTAAGAAACTTGCAAAACTGCACAGAATTGGATCGGATAATCCCAACCGAGAATCAAACTAAAACGCTGGGGTGATTTGCATTATATGCACAAAGTTTGAAATCTTCATTAACCAAAGTCCCCAGAGTTCCTGCAACTCTCAAACACTGCCAAAGCCTTGATTCTCTGCTCAAACCCAATCCTTAAGGGGTTGATTCCAATTTATAGCGTACTGTGAGACATGCATCCGTCACAGTTCTGATCCCAAGCCATGTCTCCGTAGAGGCACGACCGGCAATAAGGCGAGCCTGTTTCGGCGACAAAGCCTCAGTTGTGATTCTTCAAGCTGGTCCAAGAATAAGATCATTTGAGCCCAAGGTTCACAAGTCATTGATTAACAACAAATAAAACCTGGCTTCATCTCATCAACCATCTCTTCTGAAACCTCCTCCAAAGGAACTCTGCCTCTTTGTGGCCCCATAATCTCTGGGCCTATCACTGGAATGCCCCATCTCATCCATAGAATTCTCAACTGATTTCAGGCTTTTGTAGCTTCCATTCCTTGGGGTGAAGGAGGCTGACTTCTCTTCGTCTTCGGATGGTGTAGCAGACCTGTTCTCCGGCATCATCTCGATGTGTCTCTGTCTGTGCCCAGCGTTTCTGAAACTCCTCATGTTATTTGAGGACACTTTTCCTGTGGCATATGTCGGCCCTTTCATTCCCATAAATTCCTTTGGAATACTACCTATGTCCTTGAAACAATTCCTCGTCTTAGCATCGTTAATCAGAGCTGCCCAGTCGTCTGATTGCATCAGAGCATTGGCATTGCCCACAACCTGAGCAAAATGAGTCCATTAGATTTGTTAGTTTTGTGCAAGCAGAAATGAGAAAAAGGAATGCAAAAGCTTACCCATAACGCCCTTCTTGCTCGAGTGAGCGCAACATTCATTCGACGTATATCAGCAACAAATCCTACACCATGGTTTGAAGCACGAACACAAGACATGATTATAACATCCCTCTCCTGGCCCTGGAAAGCATCAACTGTGTTGATGTAGATATCTCTACCGTCATCAGAATTCATAACTCCCTCAAATTCCCTTTGGAGGCACTTCAGCTGAAGCTTGTAAGGTGTAATTATTCCAACCGTAACTTTCTTCCCACCATCAGTTTTTACAATTTTTTGAAGATTTTCATATAACCGCAACGCAAATTGTGCTTCCATTAAATTCTGATATGATACGGAGCCACCACGGTGGGACTCTCGTCCATGCATAATGTCATAAAAAATGTAAGGCTGCATTAGAGGGTCTCTATAGTATATCTCGTCTGGCAACGTTGAAACACTCTCGCTATCAGTTAACCGCCCCTGGTAGAAGTACCTGGATGGAAATTCACGAATTTGTGGGTGCATTCGGTATTGTACTGATAGTAGCATTGTAGGACAACCAGCTTGCTGAAACCTCTCAAAAAGGCTTCTGCTGTATAAAAGCGTTCCAGCAGCCTTGCTGATGACAGTCGCCGGAAGTTGCTGGGGATCTCCAACAAGAACGCACCTAGCAGCACCAAGTGAGAGAGGAGGAAGAATAGCCACTTCACTGGCCTGGGCGGCCTCATCAATCACAACCATATCAAAGCCATGGGTGAGCCGAGAGAACAATTTCCTGCCACTACTAGAAACAGTTGTGAAGACTATTTCAGCTTCATTGGCAAAACTTGCTTCAAGACAGGCCCGAGCATCCTCGAGATTAAAGGAAACCCCCGGACGGAACTTGCCTTCTAAAATAAAAAGACGTGAAAGCTCGACCAAAACCTTGTCTCTTCCTTCAACAGCTGCAGCAAGGTTCTGCAGCAACAGGTCTCTATTATGATCCAGATCAGCAAGAACATCAGGATCAACACCAACAGATCCTTGGGACCGACCAACTGCTGCTGTTGTGCTGAGCTCCCTCTGAAGAACAGATATTTGCTGCGAGAATTGGGACTCGCGAGCTCTTAACTGATGTATCCACCCATGAATCTCCTCAAAGCCTTTCATTAAGAGCTGTTCAGTTCTTCGCTCAACAGAAACCGCCTGAGCTGCTCTTGTTTGAGAGTCAACTCCGACCCTGGCAACATCAGGACGGTAGACCTTCATCTCTCCATCAATGAAACCGCGATCAAGAACGCGTGATAAAAGCTCATCTGTTGCAGCATTTGATGGAGCACACACAAGCATCCTGGGCTTAGGGCAAAGTTTTGGAAGAGTTCGTAAGAGATTCTGATCCATGCTCTGCAAAACTTCATCAATTGATCCAGTATTTGTGCTGCACTCTGAGGTGGACTCGCTCAGCTGTTTGTAGCTCTCTGGGGCAAGTTTCTTGAGCAATGCGGTGTAATAATGCTGGTACTGCACTAGATGGATCACATTTAGCATGCCCCAGACGGTGTGTGTTTTACCCGTACCTGGAGGACCTTGAACGAGCGTGAAAGGCCAAGGTTCTTGCCTCCTAGTTGATCCATTAGTCGTACCTGCAGCAGTGTGCATTGCAGCCCACTGAATAGCAGCTAATTGTGGACCATTAAACGTTCTATGAAGATGATCCACAAAACTTTGAGTAAAACATTCAGGCAGGGCAGGAGTCTGTTCTTCATACTTGGGAAAGTATTCCGGACTTGGCTTGAGAATTGCAGTTTGCATCTGCTTTGTCACTTAGGGCTTTAGATAATTTAAACAAAATTTTTTAAGTAATTTATTTATAATAAAGATTCAATTCCTCACCTGCAAGTTAAGGCGTCGGAACCCATGGAGAGCAACGTATTCCCTCTGTGTGGTTGCAAGCGAACCTAGCACGGTTAGATACCATGTACTCTTTGGCTGCTGAAGTTTCCTCAGAAGATTATCATCTTCCACTTTGCTGTGATGAGGGAAAAAAAGTAGATTTCAGGAAGGCAAAACGAACCAAAGATTTGGTGAATGACTAAGCATCAGTGACCGCGGCGCACTAGCTGCAGGAGGGACTATATTACACCTATAGAAAAAATATGACTTCTTAAAAATTATTTACCTGCTAGAATCATATGAATCACCAACATGAAAATGAAGAATTGCTCCTGGAGGATCTCGAGTGTCTGTAGAGACATGCCTTCTGACAGTGCCAGCAACTCTTCCAGTCACCTCAAATTCATTATCATCCTCATTAGCGCCAGAATTCATAATCCTTTTATTAGATCTAGGTGCTGACAAGTGAAAAAAAGAGAATTGTAAAAGCAAGCAAAATAAAATCAAGAAACAAATCAACAAAATACAGCACCAACTGCTGCTACTTAGCAAAAGGAAATAACATGCACAGTTCTGAGTTTCAAACCTGAACCAGGTTTCGGGGTTGAAAGGACTGCAACATCGCCCTCCTTAAAGTTCCACTTGCATTCATGAATTGGAAGAACAATGACATCAAACCACCCTAAATTTAAAAGGGTCCGAAAAACATCAATGTCAAATACATAGATATATAAGTAAATCTCAATCATTCATGCAGTGAAAATTCACATTACAAAATGTCATAGCTTTAGAAGGCACAAATCAACATAAAAAATAACAGCAATGCATTCTTAAGACTTCATTTATGATTAAAAAAGCAAAACTGAAGAACTATGTCGAGCTTCCACAAAGTTTTGTAAAGGTAAGTAGAAAAACAAAATTGAGATGAAACAGCGAGATACAAGAATTTTAAAATATCAAACCTATAATACAAAACACTAAATTACCAACCTCTTAACAGCATGGAAAAGAATGGGTAATCAAATCGTCAAAAAGAAATTGAATTACCCGGTCAAAATTAAGGATAGAAAACACAGCAAGCCATTGAGGTGGTAGTATTGTTCCTTTTGAAGAACACATACTTTCCGCAAAATCATAGGCTAGCTAGACCTGCACAAAAAGGTATATTACCTTTCAAGGGGGGTAATGGAGTACACGGCATAAGTTTGGTATCAATCCAAGACCAAAAGGGTTCAGCACAGAGAGCGGAAAATGTACCAAAATAAGAGGATAATCACCATTCATGATAAGAGTACCACACTGACCAGTATATGCTGACAGTTTACAAATTACACGGTTATCACAACAACTAAGCCTTAAAAAGAACTTTGAAGATGGATTAAGAGGATGCAATCATATAAATTTTAAAATTCAAGATTATTTGTCCAAGATTCAGCACCTCAACACTTCATTAAAAAGATGATCTAGTAGAGGTCAAAGCTTCAGCCATGACACCATATACCCAAGCACCAAATCACATTCAATTTAAGCTAAAGCGTCAAGGTATAATTCCGGCAACATAGTCAAATAAATAATTGAAACAACGCACAAAAGAGCATTATTGAAACAATCATGTTAGATAGATCAGAGGAGAAAAAATAGTCAATATAAGTAAATATATTATGTGTTCTTTATTTAAGTAAGCAGGTATAAATTAATTCTCAACCTTTTTATCTATTAATTCAATAGGGTAAGGAAAGAAGAGAAAATTCAGCATGCTAGTGCTTGTTTTGCCAAAAAGAATAAAATACACTTTGATTGCCAAAATTGTTTCCCATTTATTCTGCATGATTTGCCGCACGCTAAGAAAAATATGTATACAACCAATGATTAAGATAGCACAAATATGCACTTCAAAGTTATTGGTCTCCTGCATTGTGAAAGTATCTGCGCGTTATCCAAAATGGCTGTGGGAATCAACAAAAACTTAGAATTCTCAAATTCATGACTTTAAACTTAAAATTCTCAAATTGATGACTTTGTCGAGGGTAAATGTTTGGGCTGCATAACTCTTTTTTTTTAAAAAAAAAAGGGAAGTGCAAAATTGATATGTTCTGTAAGATTCCACAATCACTATTTGATTTGAAGAAATCAGTTCTAGCCAATGAAAAGGATAATTAACAAATTCATGAAAAACAAAAGATATCTAACAAGCAATACCCAAAGCGCTTTCATACCCTTGAAGGACTCATATAGTTAACTTGCATAATGATAAAACAACAAAACTTTGGTACACAAATGATTGAAAACACACAAACAGAAGTAGAACTTGAACACGTATTCAATCCTATAACAAAATTTAATTTAATTTGCATTATTTGGCATTGTAAAGTGGTGCCACTATGCATTCCAAGTTAGTTTATATGTTTAAATCTAGTTTAAGTTGTTGCGCAATATTTGTTAAATACATATTTACATACAGACTGTAAAATATGCTTACCAATGAAAAGGAATTCTTGAACGGTGAATTGAATGTTTGCAATTATAAATTCACATCTCAACCTGTTAGTCTCTAATTGTTACATTTTTTTTGCTTATTAAATTGAATACATACAATATAGCATTCTTCAACCAATAAAGCAACAAAAGATCAGAGTCTCTTTCGACAAGAATTCTTGCAAGATGAATTTCATATTTGTAATTAAAAAGATTACATTTTTTTTAAATTTCACCATTTTCTTTTAAATTTTCCCGGGAACACAGCTAGTTACCCATAAGTTATCTCCAACATGTCACAATTTTCAAGCTAACAATGTTGCATCCTCACAAAGTTGATCACTTAATGTAATTAAGAACTCCTCTTTAAAATTAGCTACTCGTTCTCTATATTCTTTAGTAGGTTTTCTACCAAAGAATGAGATCCCAATTCATCTACCAAAATGATCCCATCGTTCAATGCTTAGAGAATTTTGGATGCAAAAAAGACGCCAACCAAGAAGTGCAAATAAACGGGGGGTTAACATAAAAGTTTCTTGAATACTAATCGGTAATGGAAAAAAAAAAGGATAAAAACTACATCAAGTAGACAAGTACATGGTGTGATAATATTCCAAAATACAATTTAAATTGTCGTAAATTATGCAGTTAAAAACAAAGACTAATAGAGATTGAACCGGAGAAGGGAAGCACCACAAATATCATCAAAATATCTAAAAATGGTTCATGAATCCACGTTTGAACAAAGCACTCTATAGGAAGATGGATCTAAAAGAACCAGTAACAAGTTCGATACAACCCATATACTAGAGATACTATATAAATGTCACCAGAGGGGAACATAAATGGAATTTATTGCGCTATGCAACACAAATATATTTACTGTATGTCTGAAAAATTTTAGAAAATAAAAAAATAGCATCCAACAATTAAGTAATTTGATGGCACCAATCTAAGTATAAACACACAATTCTGCATAATAAGTTCCCACACTGATTCCTAATTCCTAGATGCTCTTAAAATATCACCCCATGTTAGAATCAAAAAGTTGCACAGTTAAATCCATTTATGCCTCCAAGAAAATGATAACTCCATGCCCTTAACACCATCATAAGTTTTCAATTACTCATAAATGAACTGGAACAATTTTGAAACTAGAATTACTGAAACTTAAGAGCATGCTTCAACTCAATTTAAAAAAAAAAGAAAAAAGAACATATACCTCTTTCTCGTCTTTCCACCATTTTCACACGAACCATGACATGTGCATCCCTTGATACCATTTCTGTTGATTCCTCCCACGTGCTATACAGCTGTGCTCTACATTCCTCGAAGAGTAGAGGTTCAAAGACTCTAACATACTCCTCGACAGATTCAAAGCTTCCCGGGACACATTGAAGGTCCGACTCCTCTGAAATATCGAGAATATGGTTACAAGCCCTTAAGTACAAAAACAAAACAAATAATTCAAGGTAAAACTAGATGGGATATATCTAGAAAAAAAAAATTCAAGTGATGAAACGTGAAAGGGTTATTGCCAAAGTGCAGCACATAATGTGAGTGCAATAGCTGCTCTTTTATATAGATTCATCCCATGCTTTCCAATTTTTTTTACTGCTTTTTAACAAATTGTAATTTAATGAACTGATTGACACTCCCACTACCCTGGCATCAAAAAATTAATTAAAAGAGTTTATTTTCCAAGTTAATCCAACAAGAAATCATGCCTTCTATTTTTGGTCTATCAACCAATCTGGTGCCCATGCACCAAAAGGAAAATTCATGCATATGTACTTCTAATTGCAGATAACAAAATACTAATTGAAAGAAACAAATTACACATAAAATACTGAAAATCTAAAAAGATTATCCCAAACCTGGATGATGCCAAAACTGTTCGTTAGTCACCTCCCTCAGGAGCCTTTCAACAGATGTGTCATTGTATTGCTGGTTATTAAAATTCTGTTTCTTGGAGAGAAGAGGTCTTTTGTTCCCCAATTTTGCATCTGCAGTTTCCAGAGCAGTCACTGTTTGTTTCTTTGAAGAAGCTGCCGAAGGCTTAAACAGCCTGGAATCCACAGAAGACTTCCATGAACTGGGTCTTGAATTGGGTGTTAGATGAATTTCGTGAGGACTTTCACAATTATTTATCTTCTTTGAACGTGTTTGGGGCCCTGGAATTGCATCGCCATTTGGTTCAGTCTTAAGTTCACTAAGTTCAACAGTGCTGCTTGCTTCTGATCTTACCTCAGACTGCTGTTTCTGCTCCTTGGTTCCACCCTGACCAGGTCTCTCCCCAGTCCTCTCTACCACAGAGTTTGATCTGGATATTTCTTTTATTGATGTTCGAGTAGTTGTGGTAGTAGTAGCCGCAAATGAAGATTGCCTCCTCTGAGATGTGTTTTTCATAGAGCAATTATTCTTCACATCATCCATGCCAACAAGAATAGTCTTTGGCTTTGTCTTTCCTAACTTCCCTAACTTCTGCTCCTTCTCTTCATCATATTTAGCCTTCTTTGAAGGATTATGATTAGCAAGCCTCAAGGCATGAGTAGCTTCAATACCTCTAACCTCTTTTCTCTTTAATGCTCCCGAAAGCTCCTCTGGGACATCTGCATTAGTATCCCCCTTGAAACTACCATCTGAACCTTTTGCATCTTTAGTGCTATCCACTGCACCATCATTACTGGTGCTAGGTATATGTGAATCATTATTCATATCCAGCATGGCTGGATCAGAAATATTACCATTATCAAAAGCTTTTTCTTGCTCCTTACTCCCGCTGCGTGCATCTGTATCTGCATTTCCTTCCATATCAGACCATTCTCCCTCCTCCTTCTCTACAGGCTGCGCCTCCTTCATCACAACGACCTCTACAACCTTTTCATCGTCACATCTGCTTGCAGAAGCAGCCGGTGCAGGTCCTTGGCTGTTGACTACTGAATCATCCTTTTTCTGCTTGGCAGACTCCCTATGTTGTTCTTTGATCCTAAATGGTTGGAATCCTGAACCAAAAGCAGCATGGGTGAAAGCATTGTTATTGAATATCCTGGGACACTCTTCAAGCGAAGGAAGAAGGTTGGACGTGCGCGGATTCAAAGTTGGAAGAGACTTCTGTGGCACGCAGGGCGCAACTGCAACTATTTCGTCATCCTCTTCCGTGGTAGGTGGCTCGTTAAGGTCGAATAATGGTCTTCCGCGGCCCCCCATATCATTAATAGACGCATAAAATCGAAATCCCTTTATTTCCTTCAGATGCCAAACAAAGTTTCATAAATTACAATGCAGAAGAGCAATTCGTAAACAACAGAACAGCTAGATGACAAATTGAGAGCCAAAGAAAGAGCAACAACGAAATAAAAAAAAAAAGTATGTTCTTCTACTCTTCCGAACTTCAAACCTAAAACCCTAGACGCGGTATCCGTCTTTTTTCCCCAACAAAACCGCTCGAAGCGAACCCTTTTCCGTGTAGACTACTCATCAGAGATGCGGGGCGCGTCCCCACTCCGATCGGTCCCTCCCGTATCGACCGAACTATTAGATCGGAA